TTTTTTTTTTTCCTTTTTTTTTTTTTTTTTTTTTTTTAGTTTTTAGTTTTTAGTTTTTAGACAGGGTCTGTCTATATATTCCAGGCTGGGCTGGGCTCAATCTTGCAATTCTCTTGCCCCAGCCATCCTAGTACTGGAATTATAGGCATGACTCATTATACTCAGCTTCAATTTGTATTCTGACACACAGTACCCTGGGATTGAACCTAGGGTCTTACAAATTCATTCAAATTTCCTACCACTGACCTATATTTTCTGCCCTTTTAAAATTTTTACATTGAATCAAGAACTCAGGAAGTTGCCCTGGTGGTCTCCAACTTGCTATCCTCCTGCCTCAACCTCCCAAACTGAGAGGCTTTACAGAAGTGTGCCAGCACAACTGGCCAAAAATACTGTTTTAAAGATGGGAAATTTAATTTCCACTGACAGTAAGCTTAAAAAGTACTAAAATTTGTTGGCTGCATAGTTAGACTTTTCATCTTTCAAAAACTTAATACAGCCATGTTACTCACTGAAGGACAGCAATGTCATGGTGGTAGAATGCAGAGTTGCAGAATTTAAGGGGTTTTATCTCAAAGAATACTCCTAAACATTGATTTGTTAAAGAACTAAATATGCAAAAGTCATAGAAATAAAAAGTAATTTCTTTTATTACACTTATCTTTATAATTATCCCATAGTTTTAAGCTCAAACTTAAGAATTCTACATGAACATTAAAATCTTAATGTCAGGCAGAAGAAAAGATAATGCTACTTACTTAATGTCTTTAAAATGTCATCTTATAGATTGCTATTTCCTATGATGGAAATTATAAGGTCATCATTATGAAGTTGCACCTTGCAAATTTAGAAAATGAAAGATATCTATCATACTAAATAGTTTATCTATGGAGAAATTTTATGTAAAACCTGTCATTTGATGCTAGCCATTAAAGTCTCGTATGGATGTCTCCATATTCTCACCTCAAATTAGATTTGTCCTCCTTGATTCATGTTATAGTCTTAATTTAAGCAACATGTCTTCTTCATATTACTGACACAATAACTGTTTCACATTCCATCTCAAATTCTCACAACAAAGAACATTAAACATTGTAGTGATGAGAACTAGTTCAGATCACGTAGCTGATAAATGACCAGAGTTTCACATTCAACTTTGCCAATGATAAAAAGTACCAAATACTTAATTACTTGCAACATTTTCTTGCACACATTAGCTCACTCAGCAAGTTGTGACCTCAGAACCACATACTAATTAAATGAGCTCATAAGTCTAAAAAGTGGCTTTTGTTTCAACTCTATGACACAGATAACAAGAAACAACACAGGAACAGTTTATATTACAAATAGTCAACAATCACAACAATAAAAACACACATATCAAAGATGATAATCCTCTCACACTTTATTTTTAAATAGTCACTAAATTACAGCTCACTTCTGCTACGTTCTTTGAACCACTCAACAAGTCATCTTCATTAGACATGAAAATATTAGTCACTAAAATTCCATGAAAGAAACAGTCTACTTCTATTGACCAAGCCACATTTCTAAAGATAAATCAGAGCTAAATTTGATCTTTAGAAAAACGCTCTAATTGGCATATAAAAATTATGCTTCTATCCTTTTTTTCTCAAATCACATATTAAACGTTAACTGTGTAAAGTTGTAAGGCAATCATGTGTTAGCATAAATTACAGGTGAGAACAGTTAGGAAAGAAAGAAGAAAATACTTACACTTCCTACATGTGATTTTACAGTTTATATTTTTCAAATAAATTTTCAAGTAAAATGAAATAGAAGAATGTTTAAATACATTAGTTGTGTTTAAAAATGTATGATCGAGGGCAGGGACAAGGGGAAAAAATGAGAACCAAGACCTGTCGTGAAGGTACAGGATCTCAGTAATGAATGTAACTGTACTGTAGACCTAGATTGTACCAATAAACTCAATAAAAAGAAAAATAAATAATTAAAAATGTATGATCTTGAAAAGTACTAATTTGTGTGCCTTCTAACTTACAGCATTTGGTAGCTAGATCATCTATCTTTAATATTGCCATTATCCATATGGGGAAAAAAGTAAGAATGCCAGAAAAAGCCAGGTGTGCTTTTGGTGCCCCCCAAAAGGAGAAAAATCTGTAATCTCAGTTACTTTTAAATTTTGACAGTGTCTCCAAATAAAATTTTAAAGGAGCTGGCAATTTTTAGCAACACAGTGTTTGCCTAGTATGTGTGTAGTTCTGGTTTCAATCCCAGACTGGAAAAAATGTCAGCCAGCAAAGATAATCAGATATATGGATTAGGTTTCTCTGCCAATATGTGCCCCTTCTAAAATAGTCCTGTAAATAATCATGTTGCAGAAAAGACAACTACTTAAGACTTTGCCTAAGACTGGATAACAACCTGGCTATAAAAACAGAACACTATCAAGAACCAATAAATTTTCTTTGCTTCTTTTTCATTACTAGCTGAATATGAACCGGGTAAGGGACTAAGCTAAGACTATAAAAGTAGAAGGAAAAATTATTTGGAAGTGACAAAAAATACCAAATGAAAGTATATTTCTTTCTAGTAAAAGTGATGTTCCAAATTCATGTTGATAAAAGCTTTATAGATAGACTACATAAAAGAGATGTTTGGGGTTCATATATCCTGAACTTCTGGGTGTGAGGTACTAAAAACAGCATTCCAAGTTACTTGCTAAAAGGAAAAGTACATTGCCAATACCTATTAACCCGCAAGATTATGACATAATGGATTATCTGATGTTAGGCATAAAAATATACCATTGTTGTAAACACATATTATAAACAAACACAAAAGAGGAAGTTATTGGTTTAAGCAGTTATGTGTCAACACAACTGTGACTCAGGTTAAACATAATTCTTACTACAAGCTGAGAGATACTGAGACAATCATTTTCCAGCAAGTGGTGATTCAGAAGTAGCTGGCCACCCACACCAGGCATTCCTGTCATTAGGACTCTTCCTCAGTGCACCCTTTCCTGGTCCAGCAGTTTGGCAAAGGAGGGGGCATGGCCTGCCTCCCACAATGGCTGAGAGGAAACCCTCCCTTTCCCTTCAAAAACTCCAGGAAACTCTCATTGTATCTGTTTTTGTTCTTTTTAAAAATGTTTTGTTTCTTAAATGGTAAAAAAAAAAAAATGCACCTAAAATGAGAAACACCTTGAGTATTACTGAGCCTACAAAAAATTGAAAAGATTTCAGGAGCTCATGGATTTTTTTGTTTGTTTTTTTCCACAGAGTCTAGAGATAGATGATAAAGGATGAAATATGTCATTTTCTTAGAGTGATAATAAAATAGAAAAGCACTATTAGAAGATTAATATAACTATAAGCTGAACAATTATATTTATAATATAACATCTTGTGTTAAACTGAAATATCTGCAAACTTCAAAAAAAAAAAAACTAAAGAAACTGGTATCTAAATGGAACTGCTACTTCGAAGACTTGAAGGACTGACTCAGAAGACTAAATTCAGAAGATTACAGACACTCTTACCTTGGAAAGACTGTTTGGCTCTATCCACTAGTTCTTCAATGGGATAACTGGCCAAATTCCCTCTGGCATGTTTAGTTTTGCAGTAGACACAAGCATTGAGACACCTGTTCAAAGGGTGGCAATAAATAAGACTCAAAATCTTAAAGATAAATTATATATAACACGTGGGGTTACTCCAAACTGTGCTTAATGTATATGAGAGATACAAAAAAAAACAATTATCTGCATGTCTCATGTTTAATTTATTTCCACCAGGCAAAGCAGCTTGCAATTCTTGAGTTCCAATTACTCAAGAATATGTCTACAAATTATAGTATTATCTTAAAATACACATATTCATGAGAACAAAGCTATAAATGCTTACAGTGACTAATCAAAAGCAATTCAAGACACTTTTTGTAAACTACTGGCATTTCTTCAGTTGTCAAACATGTAGAAAACTTCAGTACTGCTTATACATAGCTTTTTAATACAAATGAGAAAGCATACTTACTTAACTTTCAATTAATGATATAAGAATAAACAACATAAAATATTCCCTTAAAATTTTTCAGATATTATTTTTCACTTTTTAAAATCAGAAAAAGAAATTAAAATGTGCCTACTCAATATTCTTTGGGATTACATTAGTCAAACTAAAAATGTAAAATGACAATATTAGCTTTAAAAACTTAAAAAGGCTTCTTTTCCAGCTTTTAGACACAATAAAAATTGTATTTTTCATACAAAGGCTGAATTTAGTCTTACAATTTAAAAAATATAATGTAAATTTCTTATTAAAAGATAAAGAATCACAACAGTTTTTTAAAAATGTCCTAGGGCCAGGGATTTAGCTCAGTGGCACCATATCTGCCTCGCAAGTGCAAGGTCCTGAGTTCCATCCCTAGTACCAAAAAAAAAGCCTTAGCCCTGTATAGTCACACAGAACAGTAATTCTAGTACACTGGGAGGTTGAGGCAGGAGGATAGAAAATCGGAGCACAGCCTGTGCAACATAGTGACTTAGCAAGGCCCTGTCTCAAAATAACATACTTTAAAAATGGGGCGGGGTGGGGGGGAGTTGTGGGTATAGCTCACTGTGAAGGGCCTGGGTTCAATCTTCTACAAGAGCAACAAAAACACTAAGTCCCAAGCAAAAATGATGAGGCTCAACAACACTGAACAAAACAAAAATTAGCAGTGACATAATTGAACTTTTAAGAAGTGAAGCTGATCAATGTCACATTTTATTGACGTATGACAATAAAATGCATAGCCTCGCTGTACTCAGCAGTTAAAGAGGCCATGCTTAATTTCTGAAAATCTTATCATGGAACCCTTTTATATAGTAATAGACTGAAATGTGTTTTATTGTTTAACCACCTGATCTTAAACACTGACACTCTCTTCCTCCCAAGCAATGTGTATTCTTAACAATGAGCTGTGGCTTGTGAAACAGAGGCTCTGCTCTCCTGAGGCAAGTCTTCTTGAGGAAAGTTCATCCTTTACATCAGAAGGGGAAAGGGAGAAAGGAAAGAAGTGAGGAGGAAAATGTGAGAAAAGGAAAAATGTGGAAACAAAGTCTTTGTAAACAGAGAAGAGTAGAAGGGATGAAGGGAGGGCGGGAAATGGGAAAAAAAATAACAACCAAGATACATCAATGTGAAGATACAAGATCCTATTGATGAATGTAACTATTGTATACCTAAAATGTACAATAAACTTAATGGGGAAAAGCAGGGGCAGGAAATCTCTTCTACGGAAGATAACCCCCTTCTGTTCGACCTGAATGCCAAACACATTTATATTTTACATACATTATCATCATCTCATTCAGCCTTTCAGAGTTACTAATCTCCATTTTATAGACAAGAATCTACCTCAAAACATCAGATAAGAAGCTCACTTAAAGCCAGATCACAGCTGAGATTCAAACCCTGGCCAGTGAAACTTCAAACTTCACACAGTCTCCATATCAAATCACCTCCCACAGTAAATGTGTCAAGTATCATTGGTTCAGGGATGTGGTACAGTTGCAGAGGGCATTGGCAGGGCCTTCAGTTGGATCCCCAGCACCCCCTCAAAAAAAATCCTAGCTACATACAAATGAAAATAATAATGGTGCTCATCCAACAAGACATAATGTGATATTGTGTATGTACTCAGTTTTATGGCCAGTGCTTATCTAGTACTCACTGGTGTACAAATCTATCTGTTTAAAATAAGTGTGTTTTGTTTCTTTTTCCAGTTCTTAGAAATCTAAAGACAGGCTTCCTGTGCCCTCACTGGCACAAACTTGTCACTTTCATCCTTCTTGTTGTCCTCCAATTGCTGATTTTCCTCCTTCTAGTCAATCTGTGACAAAATATGTCACCTGATCTCATTTGTCACGTTTAACAGCTCAGGTTCTCAGAGCTATGTGATGGGGATCCTGGAAGCCCAGCGTCCTTTTCTCTCTTTTTCTTAAGTGTCTTCACACTCTGTCCACTCCTTGTAGCAGGCTCTGCCATGCCCCTCCTATCCCCTTAGGAATGGCATTTGCTCAGCCTGAATCAGTATCTACCAGGCAACCTGCCTTCTCTACCTCCTAAGGCTCTGTCATGTCTTTGTCCCATGAAAAATCGGGAGCAACATAAATTAAGTGGGTAGCTCTGATAGAAGCTACTACTATTTCTGACTTGGGCTGTTTCTTAAAAGCGACAGTCTAATGGGATACCAGTCAGAAAAACAGGTAGAGAAAGAAAACAGAAGTAAAGAAGGGAAACATATTTCCTCATTTATAATATAAATGAATTCATACATGTAAACCACTTAGGATAGTATCTGCATCTATCGAATGGTTAGTACATACTAGCTGTTTAATGTAACTGTTTTTAAGCAATTTTCTAAGGAAATAATTACATATCCTGTTCGAGGTATACCCCACTATGTTTGGAACATGTGTTGCTGATAGCTTGTCTTAAAAGCCAAGGGTGGAAATCAATCATATTTTCTTACTGTCTCATTTAATAAAGGTGGAAATTTCTTCCTCACAGAAAAATCACTCATGAAAATGTACACAAAATTTAAAAACAAGCTGTATTCTAAAACATTTATAATACTCAAAAGCCAGGAAATATAAATATGACATTAAGAATTCAAAATATTCTACAGTAAATGGTTCCCCTGGGTTTAAAGTTGTGATATTTTTGGAGTCTGAACATTTTATTTTTTTATCTTTATTAAATTTACTGGTACATATTAGGTATACAACACAGTTACATTCATCATTGGGATCTTGTACCTATACATGACTTAATCAGGTTCTTATTTTTCCCCATTCCCCAACCCTCCCTTTTGCCCCTCCACCCTTCCCTGTTTAAAAAGACATTGTTTCCATGGTTTTCCTTTTCAAAAAATTTTTCTTTTCCATTTTTACCTTTGCCGTATGCCTCCCACTTCATCTACTCTTTTAGACTTTTCTTCCTACTACACAATATCAATTATACAATCTAATCCTTATTTACACTTACTTTTTCACACCATAGAAACTATTTGGTATTCACACATGTGCATATTGATTTGAATTAAGAGTATAGCCTCAATATGCATCCATTTAGCTATAAATGCCTCTAGTTTCTCATTCTTTATGGCTGAGTAGTACTCCATTTCATAGAAAACCCACATCTTCCTTATCCAGTCTCCAGTTGATGGGTAGCTGGGCTGTTTACAAGTTTTAGCTATTACAAACTGGTCCACTATAAACAGGTGCACATAAATCACTGTGGTATGATTCTTTTAATTCTTTTTGGAAGATACCCAACAGAGGGATAGCTGAGTCAAATGACACCTCTAATGCTAGTTGTTTGAGGTATCTCCATATTGATTTCCACAGTGGTTGCACCCATCTGCACTCCCACCAACAATGGTGAAGGGTTCCTTTCGGCCTACAACCCCATCAGCATTTGTTATTGGTTGATTTCTTGATAGCAGCCATTTTTACAATCTCAGTGTTCTTTTCATCTGCATCTCTCAAATGACCAGTGATGTTGAACATTTTTCATGATTATTTGCTGCTTTTACTTCTTTGCAAAATGTCTGTTCATTTCAGATGCCCATTTTTGAATTGGGTCTTTATATTTGGGGAGTCTGGTTTTTTTATTTTTTTTAGTTCTTTATATATTCTAGATAGTAAACTTTTGAGGAACAGCTGGTAAAAATATTTTCCAATATTGTGGGTTGTCTCTTAGCTCTGCTTGTGATTTCTCTGGCAGTGCAGAAGCTTTTCAAAAAGATGAGATCCCAATTGTTGATTCTTTGTGCTAGTTCCCATGCTACTAAGGATTTGTTCATAGTCTTCCTATGCCAATATCTTCAAGAGTTCTACCTAACTTATAACCAATAGCCTTCTTGTATATGAATAACAGTCTTATTGAGAGTCAAATTAGGGAAACAATCCCTTTCACAATTGCATATAAAAAAATGAAATATCTAGGAATCAATCTAATGAAGTCAACAAAAGACTTCTACAGTGAAAATTACATCATTCTTAAAAAGAGGGTGAAGGGCATATAAGAAAATTGAAAATCATCCCTTGTTTCTGAGTAGGACGAATCGATATAATAAGAATGGCCAAAACTGCTATACAGATTAAATGCAATCCCTACTGAAATCCCAACAGTTTATTTCACAGAACTAGAGTTAACAATCCAAAAATTCATTGGAATCAGAAGAGACCTAGAATAGCAAAAGCAATTCTAGGCAACAGAGATAGGGCAAGCGGTATCACAATCCCCAACTTGAAACTATACTACAAAGCCACTGTGATAAAAACAGCATGGTACTGGCAAAGAAACAGACCTGAGGATCATGAACACTTTATTATATAAAGTGGGTTCATTCTTATCCACAGCTATCAAAATAATGCTTCGTATTATTTTTTTTTGTATCTAATACTTTTTCTTAAAGTGAACATTTCTACAGTGCACATTTGTTTAAGCATGTCACATTAATACCAACTCAAGCATTAACTTTTCCAGGCCTTACATTTAAAAATGAAAGAAATTTTATTACCATATACAGGAAAAACATGCTGTGCCAAATGAGAAAATAATTAGATTTTTAATGCTTAAAAACAGTTTTTTCCC